ACAGCTAATGGGAGTGTGTGGGAGGTTTGGGGAACACGGGTTAGTCCAACAGAATGGCAAATGTTGAGCAACGGGGGAGGGGAATGAAATGAAAGCTAAGTGACATGGCTTGTAGGCCATGTATGGAGTTTGAATCTTCCTCTGAGTGAGATGGGGAGCTACTGGAGATTCTGAGCACAGACATGGCGTGTTTGATCTACTAGTAATATTTTCAAATGAACAACATTGTGGCCAAATGACCCCAGGAGCAAGAGCATTGAAAGCCACTTAGAGGCTCTAGACGAGGAGTGGAGCTGGCTTGGCCCCAGAAGGGAGCAGTGAAGGTGGTAAGAAGTACACAGATAACATGATGTGTCATTTACAGTATCTGTTGCTTTGGGGCAGCTGGGTGCTGCCTTAGAAGGACATCAACGGAGTTGCCAGGTGACAGCTGCTCTCCACCTGCATCCTACTTTCCAGGTTAACTTCAAAGTCGCTTTAATGCATGCAATAGTGTGGCATATTTTAAAGTACAGAGATGTAACAGCTGAAAGGACAGGTGTTTGGGGCCAGTGGAGCCCTAGGAAACCATCTCTGGTTTTTCTCAAGCATTACTTCCTCTACTTTTGAAGCCACAGACTCACATAAACTCCTGCTAGGTTTGCCTTCTCTCCAAAGGCCACAGCAGTGAGGATTCCAAATCAGGAAGAGACATCTACCCAAGGGGATAGCTTGAGGCTCTGTCTCAAAAAAAAAAAACCTTTTCATTCAAGGGCGGCGCCTGTGGCTCAAAGGAGTAGGGCGCTGGCCCCAGATGCCGGAGGTGGCAGGTTCAAGCCCAGCCCCAGCCAAAAACTGCAAAAAAACCCCAAACTTCTCATTCAACATAATTCATTAACACTGCAGCAAAGTCAATGTGGATTGTCAGGGACAACCAGTCGGAGCATCTCTGGTCTACGTTTTCTGCACAAAGCTTATCCTGGACAGCTCCGTATATAACCTACATGCTACACAGTACAGGCAAAAAAACAAATATTTTTTTAAAGCTCTGTATTGTATCCTACATGTTATAAACAGGCAAACAAACATTATTTTCTTAAAAAACAGAGGTTAACAGAAGTTATTATTAATTGAATCAGGACACATCAAAATGGCATTACGAACACTTTTTAATTACAACAGAATGGTAAATTTATACAAATTACAGGCTAGAATATAATGAATACAAAATCCACCCAGATAACGGTTAAAAAAGCATCATTTACAAAAGTAAATCTGATTCAAGTGGCTAAAGAACTCAAGCCCCCCATTTGGATAATTATAGACGGCTTGAAATGCAGCACATCTAAATCCTCCCCAGTCAGTGCACTAGTCAATACTACAGCATATTCAGTGACTCTAGTGATTTCAAGGTTCTAACACTTTTAGCACCGACATCAAGAGACATCTCGAAACAGGTTCACTATGCAAAACTCACATGAGAATGTGTGAAGGTTCTTTGCAAACCGTAAGGTGCTCTGCAGATGTTGTTAGCTATTGCTATTATCACTGTTCAATGAGATTTCACTGAACGTGGGGAAAAGGAAGACTACTCTGTATAACTGACAAATATGACTTATAGAACAAATTGAAAGGAATGCAGATATTACTCTGAAGGGCAAGTAGCAACAACACAGGCAAGGAAAGTGTAGCTGGGGTGACATCAAGGAATTCCCAACTATTTTATGGAATATGCGAAGGATTCAGTTCTTCAAAGATTATGTGTAATATTTATTTCTTGTTAAGTTCCCAAGGGCCCTGAAAATTATTTTTTTTTTTTGCATTTTTTGGCCGGGGCCGGGTTTGAACCCGCCACCTCCAGTATATACAGGGCTGGGACCCTACTCCTTTGAGCCACAGGCACCGCCCCCTGAAAATTTTTTAAGGTGACTCTTTCCCCCTGAAAAAGGAAAAAAGAGATCTTGTCAAGTTACTAATGTGCTATTTCAGCCCAGCTCTTGTAGAATTGTCCTAAACATAGACGTCCGAGTTCACAGCTGTACTACCCTGGTGGACAATACAAGGAGCTTTATAGCAGAGAAACCTGCTACTAACCTAAGACAGCTGACAGATTCGGTGCCATGGTCGGACTATTTATCAGATGGGCTTAACAGCAGCTTACAACTTCATGTGAGTATAAACAATAACATGAACTTGTCTAGAAACAAGAAATACACACTAGAGGGGTTTGAAACAGGATAGCTTTAAGACAGGATTTGTTTCATGTACCTCAGGTTCACTCTTTCTTTGGGTATAACTTACTCCTCAGGTATTCTAACCGTATATATATAAAATTTATATGAAAATGGAAAATAAATACCAGTCAAATCAGTCAGTTGCTTCTTTAGACAAAGCTGGTGAAATCTGTATGATGAAAACATTTGAATCCCTGTAAGGGATTTTTGTCAGATTCCTATGAAACACAGGGACTTTTTAATGGCAGGTTAAATTTCTTCGCCAACAACTCAAAACCAAATTCCACTGTTACACGTAGAAGGGTTTCCATTTGAAGAGCTAATGACATCAGACGCATTCTACAGCAGACTTTTCATTTTTCAGCACAACGGAGAAAAAAAGGATTAAATTCTGGGGGGCAAAATGGAGGGTAAGGAAGATAACATTTTAAAGTAAATAGAGTAAATCAGTAGCTTGGACTGATACTTCAAGTTACACTTCCTAATTGTGGTTATTCTTACAATTGGTTTTCAAACAATAGTGAACATACCTCTACCTTAAAACATTTATAAGGGTTCATCTGTCCCTTTCACTTCTATACATCTTAAAGTATATACACTGTGCAAGAACAAATGACATATCTTGAAAAATAGATCTATCTGTCAAATACTGAATGTTGTGTACCACAGTTAAGAACGGCAGCAAACTAGCGAACTAACAGTTAACCACCAAGGGGAAAACTGCTTTGAAAACACACCTATTTGGAAATAATCCTCAATACCAACCCTAGCACTCAATTTTAACTTGCAAACACTTGGTACTTTTGCCAAGAGGAAACTGTAACTGCTTCTCCATGTATCCCTGGTTTAAATATTGCTGGAAAATACCACTATCATTACTTACTCAGCAATATATTGGAAACAAAACAAAATAATTCAGCATTGGATAGTAATATTTTACAAATAATGTATTATCCCAAAAGTAAAGAAACTTTGAGTGTGAATAATATAAAAAGAAATTAGGAATTAGGTGTACAGTTCTAAATCTTGACAGGGCCTCTTAAGCAGGGACCATCTAGAAATCTACCACACAATACTATTGAAAAAGACTCTTTACATTGAAAAGAACTGCATAAAGACATTTAAACTGTCCACAACATTTAACTGTAAGCAAGAATTAAAAAGAGTGCTATAATAATCATACTCATCTTTTATTTTCTCAACAATTAAACAAAGACAAATGCCTACTTGACTTTTAGGCCTAATCGACTATTCCCTTTACTTCAGTTCCACAACATAATAATAAAGGTGAACAAACCAGTAATGGCAAACACTTCAGCAAGAGCCATTGTATTAGCATTATCAGTAACAGGGAACTTGAGTTTTATTCAGAGTCAACTTTGAGCGTATATCAAACCAACATTCGGAAATGGCTCTCGAAGATGCGTACACAACATAAACCAAAACAGTGGTTACCTTCAGGTGGCAACATTATAGGGAATTTTCATCTTCTTCTTGATTATGTAATTTTCTAGTTTTCTAAAGAAAACATGTATTATGGTTTTGTAATTTTAAAAAATCAAACACTTATGGGGAGCAGTGTTTTTAGATTACACACAAATAGTACCAAATGGCTAGAAAGAACACAGACGGAGGATACCCACATAAAGTCAGGGTTTTTTGGTTTTTGTCCATTAAGAAAGGACCTCAAGAATTATTTAACTAAATATAGTAGAACTTCTCTAAGTTGACCATCCAGTGGACTGTAACAAACTGATCAACAGACAAGAAGATTATCAACGTAAGCAACCAGGCTTACCTTACTGATACCTACATGGGATACATGCCTGGTCTATGAAAATTAGGTCAACTTAAGAAGGTGGTCAATGGGGGGGGGGGGCATTAACTATGCAGGTTCTACTGTGTTTGTGTGCAGGTGATACAACTTAGCTCTGATTTCAAAAGACCACTAGACCAGAAATCCAGATGAAATATTTCTTGAGTGATAAAAATATAACACATTTTCAAGATTGTTTATATTCCCAATGTATGCAAAAATGAACACATTTAAATACATACACTGTCATATACACTACAATAAAAACACAGTAGGAAAAACTATTTTAAATGAAGCTCCCCCAAACATTGTAAATGAAGCCTAACTTCAATGTTGAATGAGGGAGTCAACCATAGCAATCAAAAGTTGGTCTGAAAAGCACAAAGTGGACCTGCAGGAGTTCTTTAAGAAGCAGGCTGAGTGCCAGAGCAGCAAGCTCTTTGCTTTGTTCTCTAGATTCTTCAGTACATCAAAGTCTTTTTATGTGAAGAGGTGTGATTTAACCTAGGTTTCCCAAAAAACACTGTAATGAAAGATTTCTACTGACTAGGGATTATCCTTTATGTGAAATTCCTTAGTGATATTCAGATTAATTCCAGTGTCCACAAGTTAAGCACCTTTCCATAGGAACTTAACCCCCCAACCAAGGGCCTGGTATTTTCATGACCATGAGGGAAACATTCCAACACAAAATAAAGTTGAGATTTGCTTCACAGTGCACATCTTAATGCATCCAGGGTAAAACTCAAAAGCAACCATAAGTCAAAATGTCCTAAAACATGTCTGTTGTAAGATAATCAAATTATTTCCAGAATAATGTGTAACTAAGTTAACTAATTCATTTGTAACTAATTTAACTTTTCCAAATTCTCATTTGCAAATGTGACTCATACAGTTAAAATCAATTACACAAATTATTGTATTAGAACAATTAAAATTTATACTATTCAAATGTGACTCCTGAAGACTGATTTTAACATGTTTTTTCAACTTTATTCAAATCAGCAATGTCCCCTTCCCCCAGCATTTGCCATTTTGAAAAGATCAATTTAATGCTATCAAAAGGTGACATTCACTTTAATCCTGTTTTCCTTCACGCCATTGTCGTGAGCCTTCATTCCAGGCCACGTACACAAACAGAGCCAGCACCACATGGACAGCAACCACTGCAACAATAGCAGCATAAAAATAGCTGTCCCTATTGGACATCCCAAGGGCACCTATCAAGAGAAGAAAGTTTCCATTTTACTCCAAAACTTACCAAAGTACAAAAAAACAAAGCATAATAATTCTTATTAACTATATATTTCTCTTTTAGATTTTATATTAATATGAGGGTACAAATTAGATTACATCATTTACATTTGTTAGGTAAAAGTCCAAGTTGTAACTGAGTCCATCACATATACCCCTATACTGTACCCAATAAGTGAGAGCTTCCCAATCCCCCCCCCACTTGATTTTAATTATATTTTTCTATCCTGTGGGCATGCAGTTGTCCATCTACTGGTCAGGCAATGAAAAAATAAAATTCTGATAATGAATCAAGTATTCATTATAAGACTTGAGTGTCTTATAACGAATACTTAGAACTATAAACTAAGAACATGATTTTAAACAAACCCACAATTATAACCTCACCCAAGGACTTCAACAATGAAAAGGGGACTTTCTTTTCTTTTCCTTCCATTACCTGACACTGAAAGTCCATTTCCATAAGCCAACCCCTCCTCTCAAAGAGATACTAAAAGATCTGAAAGCTATTTCACATAACACCATAAAAAGGAAGCCAAGTGGAAAAAAGAAGTGATGGAAAAGCTCATTACATAAAGACTCATTATGAGCAATGTGGTTTTTGAAAAGCAAAACAGAAGAAACGAATAAGAAAACCCACTTTACAGATATACAGAGGTCATAAAAGCACAGAATCTTAAACTGGTAGGGGGAAAATATCTTGTTTATAGGTCTAGGATTACCTTCAAATATATAAGATTTAGTCGTGAAATACAACCCAATAGGAACAGTGATCATTAAAGCTGTGAAGAACAGGAGCGTCTTCAGGGTAGATGCTAATGAACTTTCAGTTCTGGAAGAAAGTAAACAAAGAGAAAATCAGAACCTGCATAGCCATAGCCAAACACTGTCACGTCCCTAGAAGTATAAACACCCATGAGATGCTGGAAAATTTGTCCCTTGGAAGCAGGGGTAGGGAGTCATAATCCAAAGATCCTAGAGACTCAGTTGTGGGCAGATGGAATTTCTTTAGCTGGAATATAGGGATTACATTACCACCTTCGAGGGACTATCATTCAAATCCAATATGAGAGAAAGTATCTCAGCACTCCTCCTCTTAGCAGAGGAGCTGGGCGAACAATCTGGGCCAAGAAATGTTGTGTGCCAGATGCTAGAATTGGACTGTTGGCCCACGGAAGCAGCATCCACGCTGCGCTGGTCCCAGAGCTGATGAGGCTCCAGACACTGAACCACCAGAGAATAGCCCAGCAGGTGAACCACTGTGGCTTTCCCCACTGAAATAGGAGCTTCTGTCAAGGAACATCCAGGCCACAGAGCTGCTGACACTAGAAGCCGCTGCTCTGTTCACCTGGCCTGGAGGAGACCAATTAGCCCAGCCAGTGACCAATACACCCACCCTCGCTGGAACAGGAGCTTCTGTCACCAGGAAAAATTAAAGCTAGAGGGAATACTTCCAAACACATTTCATAATGCCAGCATAACCTTCATACCTAAGCTAGACAAAGACCCAGCAAGAGAACTATATGCAGATGCATATTTGGGACAAGAATCTGCAATAAAACATTTTCAAATTAAGTTCAACAACATATCAAAAAGATTATATATTATGACCAAGTAGGATTTATCTCTGCCATGCAAGGCTAGTTTAACCTATGCAAATTAATCAATGTGATACATCACATTAACAGAAAGAAAGATAAAAACCACATAATGTTCCCTCAATTAATGCAAAAAAAGTATTTCACAATGTTTGATATCCTTTCCTGATAAAAACTCTTAACTGTTTACACATAAAAAGTGTGTCAACATAATTAAACCCGTTTATGAAAAACCCAGAGCTAACATATCCCATGGAAACAAGGCAAAGCTTTTCCACCAAGATCTGGTATAAGGCAAAGATACCCACCCTCATCATTTCTATTCAGCATGGTACTGAAGCACCAACAAGAGAAGTCAGATAAAAAAAAAATAAAAGGCATCCAAATTGGGACAGAAAAAGTAAAATTATCTCTATTTGCAGGCGGTACATTCCTATACAGGGTAGACATAAAGTTTGCATGCAATTCAAGAGTTTGACATAGTAAATTGCACACGAAGTTTATGGACACTCCGTATGTAGAAAACTGCAAAGATTTCACAAAAGAAAAAAAAAAACTGTTAGAATAAATAAATTAAGCAAAGTTGCAAGATACAAAATCACAATACAAAAATCAGGAAGCATTTCTATGCACAATTACCAGGCTGAAAAAGAAATCGAGAAAACAATCTCATTTACAATAGAAGTTAAAGCAAATACTTAGGAATAAATTTAACCAAGGTGGTGAATGATCAGTACACAGTATGAAGTATACAATATACAGTACAAAAGTATAAAACACTGATGAAAGAAACTGATGACACAAATGAATGTAAATATTCCTTGTGTTCATGGGTTAGAAGAATTAATACTGTTAAACTGTCTATACTACCCAAGGCAATATACAGATTTAACACAACCTCAATCAAAAGGACAGCCGCATTTTCATAAAAATAGAGGGAAAATCCTAAAATTAACACAAAACCATAAAAAACTCTAAATAGCCAATTCAATACTCAAAAATAAAAAGATGAAAGCATTGCACTTGCTGATTTAAAATTACATTACAAAGTTATAGTAATCAACAGTCTGGTATTAGCTTAAAAACATAAACTAATTAAAGTAACAGAGGTCAACTACTTTTTGACAAGAGTACCAAGAACACAAAATGGAGAAACAATAGTTTCTTCAATAAATGATCCTGGGAAAATTGCATTTCTACATGCAAAAGAATGAAATTGGACTCTTACACCACTCACAAAAGTCAATTCAAAATGGATAAAATAATTGAAAGATAAAGGCAAAGTTTTAAGACATAGAACATATGGGGGAAGTTCTTTTACATTGGCCTTGGCAATATTTTTCAGTTGTCAGAACAAAAGCTCAGGGACAAAAGCAAAAATAAGTAAAGGGGACAGCATTAAAGTAAAAAGCTTCTGCACAACAAAGGAAACAGTCAAAAATGTGAAAAGACAATCCACAGACTGGGAAAAAGTATTCCCAAAACATGCATCTGATCCAGGAATTAACTCAGCAGCAGAAAAACAGCCCGATTAAAAAATGAGTAAAGCACCTGAGCAGACATTTCTCCAAAGGCATAAAAATGGCCAAAAGGTACTCAACATTACTCAGCATCAGGGAAATGCAAATTAATACCACTATGAGCTACTACCCCACACTTGTTAGGATGCCTATTATCAAAAAGACAAAAGCTAACAAGTGTTGGTGAGGGTATGGAATGTATTTATAGACTGGAGCAGCCATTACAGAAAACAGTATGGAGGTTCTATACGACGTTAAAAATGTAACTGCCATACAACCCAGCAATCCCTTTTCCTACACCAAAAGGAGATGAAACTACCACCTTGTAAAGATAATCTATAGTTATCTATAGTTCTATGTTCACTGTACCATTATTCACAATAGCTAAGATGTGAAAACCTAAGTGTCTGTTGGCAAACTGTGGTTTGTATGTAGTGAAATATTATTTGGCCTTAACAAAGGACACCTGCCATTTGCTACAACATGGATGGACCTGAAGGACATTATGCTAAATGAAACAAGCCAGACACATGAAGACGAATACTGCATGATCTTATATGTGGAATCTAAATTAAAAAGATCAACTATACAGGTATAGAGAAGGGAGGCAGAGGAGAAAAGAAAGTGGGGGAGAATTAGGGTCAAAGCATACAGGCTAGAGTTCTAACCTACAAAAAGAGGAATACAGGTAATAAAATTGTATTGTATTGGGGATTTCGGTTACATAAGTAGATTTAACTGCTACACACACACAAAAGTAATTATGTGAGATGATAGATGTATTAATCTGCCTAATTATAGTAATCATTTTGCTATCTATATATACTTTATCTATCTATATACATCTATGACATCATGCTATAAACCTCAAAAATACACAGTAAAATTTATCTTTAAAAAGACACGCCGGCTCGGTGCCTATAGCTCAACCTGCTCGGTGCCTATAGCTCAACCGGCTAAGGCGCCAGCCACGTACACCTAAGGTGGCGGGTTCGAATCCCCAGCCCGGACCCGCCAAACAACAATG